GCAGGATGCAGCGCACCCTTCATGCGACTCGCCGAATATCTCACGGCGCTTCGCGCTTGGTGATGTGAGAGCCTGGTCCGGTGAGAACCCGGCGTGCTCCGTCCCGGCTTTGTAGGGATGCGAGGTCAATGGTCTAACGACTACGGCATGCACGACTATGAGTACACCCCCCCCCCACAGGCAAGGGAGGAAACATTAACAATATCCCGCCTGCACACGGGGAGTGGGTAGATGGATGCATGCAGCCCGCGCGTCTCCGGTGGGTTTTCTGCGCGGCCGTGTACAGCTATGCCGCGGTATCATGTGCTGCTGCTGCTGCTGCTGCTGCTGCTGCTGCTGCTGCTGCTGCGGCTACAGATAGCGCCCGCACTTAAGAACGTAGCAGTAGTTTAAGAAATTGAGACTCGCAAAAAAAAAAACAGAAGCTAATAAGGTGAGCACCATTTGTGAGCTCGGTTAAGAACGCCACACAAAAACCTATATAGCGGCCATTTGTAGCCCACAAGAGGATGATCAGCAGCATAAGAACCCCAGCCTCGGCCGAAACTAGAGGTTCTTAAGTGCGGGCGCCATCTTACTGCTTCTCGGATGATGATGATGATGATGATGATGACGATGATGATGACAATGATGATGTGATGATGATGATGAATGTTTCGTACCCCGCCGTCCCTGGCTTGCTCATACCAACCCGACAGGCCTTGCGTGGATGCGGCCATAGAGTGCGAGCAACTGGCACACACCCTCTGGCAAACAGCTATCCACCTAGAGGTGAGCAAGGCGTTTTGCTGCGGTGGTTTGTTGCTTGCCGGTCGGTTTTCAGCCTCGTGCGGTGGTGAAGGTGAATTTATCGAGATCGGGTTGACAAGGGGAAATTGAAAGCAATCGGGCTGCGCGAAGAAGAAGTGTACAATGCTGTTCTCAGCAAGGTATCTGCTCACCTTGGGCGGGGGTTGGTCTCCCGCGCTAAGCTGAGCTGGCTGGCTACCGTAAGGTTGCGAGTCAGCTATAGAGCACAGAGCACAGGGGTGCCATCGATTTTCAAAGCGTAATTTCTCCCCAACCAGGAGGGTGCGAGCGCCAACTGATGCTTCTCAAGAAAGCTCTCCATGAGGTATTTCCAAAACCGCCCTTTTCGACAGTGGTACTGTAACCTCCTGGTTGTGGAGAAACTACGCTTTGAAAATCGCTCGCACCCCTGTGCGCTGACTCGCAACCTTACGGTACATGGATGTGATCGTACTAAGTGTCGGGCTTGTACCGCTGTAGGGTGAAAGTAGTGGAGTCGTGGAGTAGCCGTGTGGGGGAGAGCGGTTTCGAGAGAGTTGTGTGTGCAGGGGGCTGGACAGCTACAAGTGTGAGTCTCTGGTGTAGCTGTACCTACGTCCTACTCGAGGTCCCCTGTCCGACTGTTCCTCCGCTTGCTCTGCGGACCTTTCCGTGCGGTCCGCGCACATCCGTATGTCACTGTATACACATGTCCGCGTACCGCATAGTCCATGCTGCAACCGCCCAGATGGTTGTTTGTCGTCTCACGCCCAGGGAGATTCCCCGGCAACGTGTCAGTGCTGTACCACATCAGCACGCCGGCACAGACTGTGTCTGTGTCACCGACCTAGTCAGGTCGGTTCTGCGTCATCAGGGCTGTCGAGTGGTGTGCTGTGCACACCCCTTTTCACCCCTCCTCTGTCACTCTTCTTCTTCCCCTCTCTTCCCGGAGACCACACCTTTGGCTCTTCCTAGAGAACTACTTCTGTCCCGCAAGTCTATGCACTAGCGGCCCCCCACCGTCGCTCCGGAAGTCTCCTTCGGCCATACAGTCGAGTGAAGGTTCAACCCCTTCCGTCGGTCTGAGATAGGTCATCCTTACAAGCATGGCAACTTTTGCTGCTGCAAGGCATACTCGGGTCAACTACTTCGCCGTGAAGTTATTGCTTTCTCTCGAAAGCGTCTGTCTCCAAGCCGCAGTTCGCGAGTTGAGCTGTGGGAGAACCTCATTCGTCGCCCCCTACGCGAGAATTGTATGCCCAATAGAACGCCACAATAATAACTTTTGTAACGGGCAGGCAAGACCCGCCGTAAGTCCTGAAATAGGTAAGAGGGAAAAAAAAAGCGCCTATGCAGGACCACGGAGTACCCATACCACGTGCTAGGGTTGCTTGCCGAGAAACGGGACGGAGTTCGAGCTAGATTTCAAACAGAAGGGGTGGAGTCAAGACACTAAAGGGACGGAGTGAATGTAGCGTTTAGACTTGAACCTGGTGAAACAGTTTTCACGAACGGTGTCTTACGAGCAGGTGGAAGGCGGCGGGTAACCGGAGAGAGAGATGAATGAAGGTCTCCGATTTATTTCTCTGATTTTAGGCCTAACGGGAGATCATTAGATTCTTGTAGAGGTACTGTATGTATATCGCCGATACGCACCCGATGTGATTTGAGCTAAGAGTGCTGTTGTTGACCGGCAGCGAAGTTCTCGTAGACTGCTGTGAAGTCGCCGGTCAACCCGTTGGGGGGTTAACCAACCCAGATGGGAACCAGTCTCAGCACTGATCCTGGGTTGACCCGGACAGGTGCTGCTACCCTTGCCCTCTGACGCCGTCGCACCGTCTCTCCCGCACGAGATGTGGAGGAGGACAGCCTGGCTTGTGTATCACGCCACATCTATGTGCACGCAAGTATGTACATGGGGCCTGTACAGCAGGACAACCTGGAGACGAAAAAAGGCCTACGTACATTGGAAACGCAACTGAGCTTGTTGCTTGCCACTACACCGCTGATTGAGATTGCAATGGAGACGTTCTTGTTCTTGTTCTTCCGCGCCATATCGTTTGTTCTAGAACATCTTCTCGAACGACGAACGAATTTTCATGTTGGCGGTGACCAGGCACCTCGATAAGACACGAAAGCCCATGCTGGTGTTACCAACATTTATCTACGTTGTTTGTCTTGGGCGGGACCTAACCCATACCAGCGTAGTATCCACTGGCCTTGTCACCTCTGCGCTTTTTATTATCCGGGGCGGCGCTGGTACGTTTTTTCGATCCGATCATTGCCCTCTCCCGACGGACCTCGCCTCACTTGCCACCACACCGCCACAGCAAGAGGCAACAGCAGCAGCGCGTCACGGCAGAAGAACCCCCAAAACGCTGTCGGCTGGCGAACGCTGCCGGACGTACGCGGGCCTCGTCCTGACCCCACCTTCCCGCCGCGGCATCATCGCAGGGGGGGGGTCAGAGCCGACGAAGCAGGCGGCGGCGGTGGCGCCGTTTGCGGGGTGCGATAGGTGAGAATACAGGGGGTCGTTTGCTTTGCCAGGCCTGTAACACTCCGAGTTTCCTCGAATCAAGGACGCCTTTTTTTTCTATCTCGCCTCGCCGCCAGCCAGCTACTTACCCCATGGACTACGAGTTGCTCCCTGTCGTCTGTAGGAGTTTTTGGATCCATCTCAAAAACACGCTTGGCTCGTGCTGCCAGCGTGTGCGCATGTCTGTTAGCTTTGTGCGTCTAGACGGTGCGATCTCTTGCCCTCGTACCTCTTCAGGCGTTCCCTCGGGCTGGTTTCGTTTTCGCCCGTCGGTGATGATTGGACAATAAAAGTAGCTCCGTTGACCAACAATGACGTTGGACTTGCACAAAGCATATGTTGGGTTTTGGGGTGTTGTTTGTTTTTGTTTTGAGATTTTTTTTTTTTCAGTTTTGGGGACGCAATATGGTACCGCTGCACTATTCCTGCTGCACCTGCCACCGGCACTCCGTTGTGTACCGTTTCGTTTCTCTGCAACGTCTCGACCTAGAGCTGTACAGCAGTACCTTCAGAGATACATATCTCAAGACTCTTGGTGATTTTTCGCTATTGTGTTGTTGCTCGGGGGCTGTGACGAAGGGTGGTACATTCACCAGTACATGCCATCTTTTCTTCAAGGATGCACCAACAAAACAACAAATGAATAAAAGTGGCGAACCTCCGAACAAGCAAGGTACAATGCTCTTGTGTAGATCACGCCAACGTGGCCCGCCAACACCTCGACTATGATAGTGCCCTGCTTTGACGCCATGGGACCAGATCACGCCCGACACAATCCTCAACCCTGTGATAATCCACCCACCACGCCGTTCGTCCGTTCCCGACTTTCGGCAACCGCCTCCGCGCACGGCGGCTACCATCAGCAGCAGCGGCACGGGGCCCGGCTGCACGGTGTGCGGGAGACGGCACGGCGACCCATCCCGCCCCACGGCGGTAAGTATTACGGTTGGGGCGGGGGGGGGGGGGGGGGGGGT